CTTTTGTTTATTAAGACCATCATCACTAGAGTCATATGAAGGACTCCGTTAAGTGGATATTTTTTATTTTTTAAATCCTATTTGTTGTATATTTTCATGTCAAAACCCTCATAGCATATCCATCTTGCCATTTCCATGCCCATTTTGCATTGTTTCTATTTTCGTGTGCTTTATCAAGGTCATTGATTAATCTTTAGTTTTAATTAGTTTCCTTGATTTTTTTGTCTTTTCAGGCATATTACAGATCCCACGGACTTTGCACGCTAAAAGAACCATGTTGGGGCCAAACCGAAAGGCTCGCAAGCACCAAATTCAGGCCCTTTGGAGAGTTTCCCCAAATGATGCTTTTTCCAGTAGCCAAAATTGAAGATCCAACACCTGCAGGTTCTTGCCTTGTTCATATGACCTAACGAGCACAAGAACACCCAAATCAGAGTCTGTATGAGGAAATGCGATCAAAATAAGAAACACCTCACATGGATTCCAAAAGAGAAGATGGGGTGTGGTACGAGCGTACATACTCATATCGCTTCTCATACCACCCGATCGTGGCCACATATTTGGTTGTATCTTCTGTGATTCTTCACTGATTCATCCCATTTTGATCCCACGTCGTCCTTGAAGATAAAGTAAGATACTGTGAGAGCTTTGGTCTCCTCTAGATCCTTGGATCAAAGGGTAGGTGGAGGACCAACGGAGAATACCCGTGAAGGTCAACTATATATGCAACACCAACCTAGCTGTCGTCTCTCTTCAATCATGTGTCTTCACACTTTCAATCTTGAGCCGCCACACCTCCATATCCATAGCAAGACCTTCTCCACCATAAAGGAAGGGCTAAGACAAGGAATAGATAAGAACAAGTCTACACCATGATGTTGGCTTGTAACTTGTCTCTATTCTCTATGTTCATCGTGTACATGTTTGAGTAATTGCACTAGTTCTCTGGTCTGGATGAACTATTATATTTTCATGAATTGAATGCCAATGATATTTGATCTTTGAAGTAACTTTGTGTTAACCTTTCTTTATGATGTTGTGGGATATCGACCTCACAACATTTGCCTTAACGGGTGTGAAGGATGTTACTATCATTGGGTAATTAGGACAAGGTGGTATTGCCATGACATAAGCTAGCTCCCTTCTTCTTGGAACTTTGGTAAGGGGAATACCAGAGACCCAAAGCCTTAAGTTGCATCCGTGGGGATGTTGGCAAACATAGTATACAACAAAAAAAGTTAGCCTACATGAAGGGGTACGAAGCATGAAAATAAAAAAAGTCCTACGAGCAGCCAAGATCTAATCTAGGAGATGCATAGCAACAAGAGGGGAGTTTTATACCTACCCATGTAGACCAAAAGCATTAGCGACAAAACGCAGTTGATGTAGTCGTACTCTTCACGATCCAATCCGATCTAGTGCCGAACGAACGACACCTCTGACATTAGCACACATTCAGCCTGATGGCATCCTCTCCTTCTTGATCCAACAAGAGAGGGAGAAGAGGTATATGAGATCAGAACCAGCACGACGGTATGGTGGTGGTGGCAGCAGCGGAATTCCGGCAGGGCTTCGCCAAGCACGTACCGGAGGAAAGGTGGGAGGAGTTGGGAGCGACAGAGGACAAGGGTGGAAGGGTGCAGCTGCCCTCCTACCACCCCACTATATATAGGGGAAAGGGGAGAGGGGGCGGCCCTAGGGGTGGCTTGCCCCCCAAGCCAAAGGGGCACCCCCATATAGGGTTCCCATCAACCACTATAAAAAACACTTCCGTGATGATACGTGTTTGTCACAGTAGGTTTACATTTTCTGTCATGCATGTACATCCATGACGATTTTATGACAAAATGAAGATAGTCATACTTGTGCTCTTGTAGAAGTGTTCCATGACAATACTCAAATTATTATCACGGAAGTGTCCACTTCCATGACGATAAATAGCGCGTCATGGAAGTGCTTTCGTCAAGTGTAACCGACACGTTGCATCCATCGTAACGGGTCGTCGTTAAGCTATCAGGTTCCGGTTTGGATCTGATAACCCGCTAACAACTGGGGCCAATGGGGATTATCCACGTGGAAAATTTCTCATTGGCCACAGGAACATGTGTCGGCTCAGCGTTGGGACAAATGTCATCCATTCAATGGACGGGAGGCGCCTATGATACGTCGACACATGGCACGACCCAACAGTGGCCCATTTAGGTGAAAAAGGTCGGCCCAGTCAAAATTAGCAGGCCGACCCATTTAGGGCCTACTTGTGTCTAGCCCATTTAGGGCCACAACCCGTACGGGTGGCCAATTCGGCCTGTCAACGACTCGTTAACTATTTGAAACCATTGTAGTCCATCGTTAGTTCGAGCCCGTTAACAACCCACTATATATTTGGGCTCAATAATGGCCTGCGGTAATTTTGGCCTGTTAATAACCCATTCTAGGGATGGGCCAATTTTCAGGACGTATGACTTTCGACCTTGTAACGACCCATTCAAGTGTTGGGCCAATTCCCAGCCCAGTGTGTCTTTTGGCCTGTTGACGACCCATACAGGAGTTGGGCGATATACGGTCCGACCTGACTTTTGGCCTCTTAATGGCACATGCTCTTCATGGTCCAATTCCAGCCCGGTGTGTCTTTCGGCCTGATAAAGGCCCATAGCAGAGTTGGGCCATTTACAGTCCGACATGACTTTTGGCCTCTTAGCGGCCCATGTCACCGACACACAATTCCAGCCCGACCTTACTATCTGCCTGTTAAATGCATGTGTTGTTAATCGACCCACTTATGGCCAGCTTGGATTTGGGCCTATGAACAGCCCGACAGGAACTGGGCCAAGCATTAACTTAATTTATTTTTGGCCTCCTAAGGATCATTGGCTCGTTTCAATTATTGAGTCCCAATAGAGCTTTCATTCTGTTAATGACCTGTCAACTAATTGGCCTGCTAAAGTTCGAGCATGGCTGTAGGCCCAATTAGCCAACATCAACTTTGGCCCAACTATTACTTTGAGCTTGTTACAAGGACCATTTATGGACTGGGCCAAATCCGGTTAATCAAAGTCCCAAGACAATATTGGCCTTTGCGAGCCCATTAGGGGGGAGGGGCATTATGGGAAGTGGGATGCTAACCTTGATGGAGGGCCCATGATGCTTCGTTCTAGTTATTATTTCACTGCTTTTTGGGCTTCTTAGTGACCAGTTGAGCTTTCAACCCAGAAAGCTGGATTACGAGTCGGGCTAAGCAAATGTACGACATACAAGGAAAAACGTAGCACATTGAAGCATATATTATAGAAAATTACATCCACTGGGCAATCAAAGATTGATGCCAATGCAAATAAATGAACAGAACTTAATGATCTACAACCTCACAATCTGCAACCTCAGCGCAAGTGACGCCCTTAAGCATGTGAGCAAGTTCTTCCTTCTTTGCTATATTGTCTGTGAAAACATCGATCAGTTGTTGTTGCGCAAGAATGTACACCTCTATTCCTCCATGATTTCCATCATTGTTTTAGCCAGTGTTCAAGAAAGCGTTTTTAAGCGACGCTTAAGCGTGATTAAGCACTGAGCGATGGCAAAGCGCTTCGCTTTTGCCCTAAGCGGTAGATTAAGCGTTTTTATTTAAATTTGACCAAAATTTGGCAATTTTTGTACTACTTCTGCTGGTCTGCTTGTGCAATAATGGCAATATGCTATTTATCTTATTACTAGGCTATGTTCAAGAACTATTTCCTTCATATTTTGGCAAAATTCTGTCCACATGATATCTGTTAGGTTACGTCTATTTGAACTGAACTGCATTTTAGTTGTTATTTTGCTTGCTATGCGAACCTGATATGTATTTGCTATTGTGTGAACTATATTTCAGATGCTACTTCAATTACCCATGTGCCGAGCTTCCTATTTTCATGTGTATATCATTCAAAATCTGTCAAATTCTAGCCAATTTCAAAAAACACTTAAGTGCGATTAAGCTGCGCTTAAGCGCTCATTGCTCTAAGATGTGGCCTTCCGCTTCGCTTACGCTTTCCGCTTTCTTGAACATTGGTTTTAGCCAGTAATTGGTTCACAAACATACATTTTTTTCGTTGGATTCGAAATAGAGAAAACTGAACAGATTCAAATGGCGATTTTGGCAGGCTTGTATCATTGATAGTGGAGGGTGTCTCGACCACTGCATCATAATATAAATTAGGATGGGGAACTGAACAGATTAATCCAGAGTTATTGCCATATTATCTGCACTAGATTTATTGGAGAGAAACAATGGGGTTGCCTTGCTGTCTTCAGAGTTTGTCTTCTTATCTTCAGTAGCCTGCACCAAGTTAACACACTAGTATTGCTATCATTGATCAGGTAAGATAATAGGAAAGCAACATTGACACAATGAACATTTTGGCAACCAGACCACACCAGCCTACACCAAATTAACACAATATGGCTTTGCTATCATCAGCCAAGTAAGATAATAGAAAAGAAACATTGACACAATGAAAGATTGGGCAATCAGACCACAACACTATATTTTAGAAATGTGCAAGATATGAGATAGTACAATCATACAACTCAGTATGCAAAACTACGAGGCAGTTTTCCTTATAAAAATCTACATTGTCACATTTAATTATACATTTTGCTACAAGTAAATTTACATCAGATAATTGGTGTAGTGTACTGAAGGTTGGATTTATGCCGATGCTACTTAACAAAGTACATGCTGATGTAAAAATATAATGATATACAACAGGTACTTACATTAGCATTGAAATATAGAGAATTCCTGCAAAATACTTTTTGTACATGTCAGCGTTAAGCAGTTGCAACTTTGAACTCCTTATTTCAATTTCTTCAACAAACATAAAACATGGAGACACCAAAATAGATATAGCATAACATCTTGGTACTAACCAGTTAGTTCCGTCATACAAAGCGATAGATGATTATTCATGCAAGAACACACTAGCAACCTTTTATTAGAATTTTACCATTCATAAACACGGCTCTCAATCATTTTGTTTCACTTCGCTTGCGTTCCTCCCCTCTTTTCTTCTTATCCATCGCTTTTCATCTGGCTCCAATTCAACGATCGAACCAACGGCCATGCTCGCGAGCACATATGAGGTGAACATAAAAGACGCATATCCACCGTAATACGTTAATGTATGCATCACTCGTAACATGCGCCTACAGGTTGGGTTCAGATGAGATAACTTGTTAACCCCACAAAAATCTTGTAAACAGAAGATGATCATACATATATACCATGAGTCGTCGCCGGGTCTAGGTCCCACTTGCGTGGCGAGCTCCTCGCGCAGCCGACTGATCTTTTTGCCTTCCCTACCAGGGATATTGTAGATCCTTTCCGCATGCGAAACCTTATCATACAACTCCTCGCTCATATTATGGATCTCTGTCAGGAGTTTCTCCCGATCTTCATAGCCCTGCTTTGCACTAGCATAAGATTGAGCTCCTACATAAATGATCATGCAATGGAAAATGGTACTAGCCGGTCCATGGATCAAAGCATTTAGATACAGTGTTTTGCTATCTGGTCATCGGAACATGCATCTTGTCAGCTCGAAAACAATGGGTTTTTTCTTTTTCTTTTTCTTGAGGAAACACACGAACTGGACTCGGTTTTTTTACGGAAACACTAATGCCCACACGTGTGGGCGTTTCCCAACTCGCACACACGCGTCGATCGTCGTCCGGTGCCTTTTGCACGAATCTTGACACGAAAAGATGGATTTGGTGTGCCACATAGGACGGGGCTGGTATGTGGGCATTGAAGAGTTCGCCCACACGCTCGCAGCATGCTGTTTGCCAACTGCGCTGTGTGGGTGAACTAGCTAGTTTTTGCCCACAAGCCAGCCACATACTCCATGCGCGTGTGGGCGAACTGTTTTTCGCCTACACAACACTCCTACATTGTGGATGGCAACTGCAGTTAGGCGAACATGGCAACTAGGTAAACACACATGGCAACTGTGATTTTTTGCTAGATGGCAACTGCAGTTGCGCGTACGTGACAACCAGATAAACAAACATGGCAACTGTGAATGTGATTAACAATACATAACAACTATGGTTGGACCACACGTGACAACTAGGTAAACACACATGACAACTACTGTTTAACCATATATGGCAAGTAGTTAATCACACACGGCAACTACGGTTTGATTACACGCGACAACTACCATAAATTAGACATAGCAACTATATAGTTAACTAAAACAGATAGAGTTGCCATGTTTTTACAACTACACTTGCCATCTCGCATAACTATATCTGCCAACCGGGATGACAACTAAATCTTCACCCCGCGGTGTACTTAAGGTACCTGCGCTAGGACGTGTGGGCATTTTTGCTTCGTGCCACACGCGCGGGGTGAAGATGAGTAGTACTTGTTGGCGTGTGGCACGAAGTAGTCGCGTCCACACGTGTGGGCAATTCTAATGTCCGCACACACACAACTCGTGTGGGCTGCCTCCTGCTCACATCACACACGGTGTGTGGGCGCATGTCGAATATACCACACGTGTGGCAGTTATCAGCGTCCTTTTTTTATGCGAAACATATCTTAGTCCAAGTTGCAGAAACAATGCACGGAAAATATATGGACTTCGTGACCCAACGCGCGTAAAGTACCTTGCCCGCCGCCACATTGGTGTCTGCAGCAACAGCAGCGGAGGATGTGGTAGACCTAGCCCGGTCGACTTGGGAGAGTCTCGGGAAGAGCCGGCGTTGCGCCTCTTCCACCGTCACCGCCGGCGTCTGGCCACCGTCGACGAGCCTCCTCGCCGTGACTCGAAGCGCCGCCATCAATGGTCGCCTGCTCTTGACTTTCAAATCGCGGAACAGCGAGAGGATTTTGGGGCGCGCACGCACCTGTTTTTAGGGTTCCTCCGTCGCCCGCCTCCCCCGACTCCGTCGGATGGGGAGCCAAAACGCCTTTTTCTTTTCTTTTGGCTTTATTTCTTCTTTCTTCCCACCTTTATCCTAGCAAGGCCCAGCCCATAGGCAGACACGCCACTCTATTTAACCCCAGTTAGTTTATCTCTCCCTTGTCTAAAAAACATTTTGTTTATCTCTCCCTTTCTTGAGCATGTTTTAAATCAGGAACATTTTAAACATGTTTGAACTTTTAAAATTATGCCTTTTTAAAATTCTGTGAACATATTTTTAAATCCATAAAAAATCGGAGAACATTTTTTTGAACTCACAAACTTTCTCAATTTTCTCAAAGTATGTTTTCTTTTTGAGCCAGGTTCTGCTGGTTTTCAAGCGAGATTCCCCATTGTAGATGTCAGTACGACAGGGGTCTAAATTATCGATCTAGATTCGTTATCAATGTAGTCTTGACATTATGCGGTTTCTTGTTTGTCTTTACAGATGGTGCGGCTCTAGCTAGAAGTCACTATGTATGAGTCTAATGGAGCCCAACCATATGCCTTCAGGGTGCGCCAATAAGCCATGCATATCCGTCAAATGCGAGCGTTTTGGTTACATTGATCAGTTGCGCAGTAGCTTAGCTGACCCATCTAGTTAGTTTTCGCTTTGCCGCCTTGCATGGGCAAGTGGTTTGGTTCTCGTTTGCTTTGTCAGCCTTGCAAAGTAGGCGCCTTACATCTGGAGCTTGTGTTTCCGAATAATCTACCTTTGTGTTGCAAACTAAAGAAGTAAACTAGAACAAGAATTAGAAACAAGTGCCAAAAATAAATAAAGACACAAAGATACTAAACACAAAAGAATCAACAAGGTGAAACAACATTTACTATGCTTGGATCAAAGGTAATCTGAAGGTTGAATATAGATGGACGATTTTATGACAAGAGGGTGGAGCCTAAAATACACATGCCACGAAACCGTGTGCACATAGCACTTGTAACACCATTGGCCCCATCCCCTAACATCCCGCTGGCAAAAGATTGTGATTAATGTTTCCTGTGCTGATCACTTACTGCTAGTGGGTCTCCTTTCATGATCGTGCATGATGCTTGTATTGTTTAGTGTACGATTATAAACGGGGGTGTCACATCAACCCTAATTATCGACTACTACGCAATCAAAAGGGTGCAATCAAAAAGGGGTAACATCTCAGGCAATTCATAATATTATGATATGGTCTAGCCCTCGGCGCCGGGGATATCTTCATGGTCCTCCAAGGTCTTCATGAATTTTTTCGAAAACACTGTGATGGTGACAATTTTGAAAACTGATGTCGTGGCAGCACTTCTTGCCTCCTGCGTCGAGGTCCTCTGTAGCAAGTCCGTCACTCCCATCAAGAAAAATAAAATAACGAGTTTGACACGCAGGTCATTAAAGGGACAATCCTTTCGCTCCAGCCATCATGCCGTACTATGACGCATAGGTCACTTAACGTTGTATCATATAATCATCTCATACATAAACTCATTATCACGATGAAGGCTATAGCACATCACATGCAACCTGCAAAATCAAGTTAGACGTCCTCTAATCGGTTTAAAAAAATTTAATTTATGTGGCTTATAGGGTTTCCGGAGAACACTAGCTACCTACGTCCACCATTAAGTTGTGATCGTTCTTGTTGCTAGAATAACTTTGCGGGGTGTGTGAGAGAAGAGACTTAATTAAAAATCTCTGGCCCCGCGCTAAACTTCCTCAATACGCATGGCCCCCATGAAGATAAAACATCTTCATTGCCCTCTCTTGTTTGCGACAGTTCACTATTCTTCACTATGATGTAGCCCAAAGAACTATTAGCATATCGTCAACAGTCAGAGTCAAAACTTTGTAAAGACTACATCATGCCGCCAAAGAACTAAATCGAAGCAATACTTGAGGGAATCAAAAATAAGAACATCAACCCTCACAATCACACGTGATCTAGATCGAAACCTGCATATACTCATAGAACCGCTCATGATGCCACTGTTGGTAGACGTAGTAGAAAACAAACAAAAATTGGCATACGATCGAACCAGGAACACTATGAATATGCATTAGAGGTTTATATCGGATCGTTACCAACTACAAGTTGCAACAGAAGTAGAGTTGATGTTGATCGTTGATGAAGTCCCTCGAACTGAAGACTGAAAGTACGACCTCTCTACGAATTGCAGGCGTACACGCTTCACAATTTGGCAGCGCTTCACCGTTCAGAGCTAATCGTTGCCGGAGAATTAAAGGGAGAAGGAGAGAACCGCACATGGATTCTCTATTATGATGATTGAGAGAATCAATTTAGATCGAAAAGAACTAGACGAACTAGAGAGGAGGGGGTGCCCGGAATGAGGACTTGATGCGTTCTCTAGGGGGCTCCCCCTCTCCCATATATATAGGTGGGACAGGGGGGGCAACTTGGGGAGAGGGCTCCTCTCCCTTGGCACGGCGGCCAAGGAGGAGGAGTCCTCCTTTGACTACCCTTCCCCCGTTAGCATGTCCAACAAGCCCTAGGGGGGCGCCTTCACTAATGGGCCCATTCCACCAAGGCCTTTATTTAATATATAGCCCAATGAATTTAAATAAATTCCAAGGGCCTCCCAATAAATATTGGAGCCCTTTATAATTTATATTAAGTCCCCAAAATATATTTCCTCCTATATATTATTTCCCGGTACTCCTCGAAACACTTTCAGAACTCCGAAGCGCTTCTGGTTTCTCTCGAAACTATTTCTAATGTTCATGAAACTATTTCATAAATATTTTACCATAGCTCTTACTCTACTAACACTCAACAGATCGTGATTCTCTTAAGCGTGTGACTCTGTAGGTTCGACAAAACATAGACATGAACAAAACCCCTTTTGTCCATGACCAATAGTGGAACCGTGGGCATCCATATTGATCCCTATGAATACATGAATGATATTCGAGTGAACCTCTGGTTATCATGTGCTATTCTCTTTCCTTTGCGATACTTTACAAAACCCAAGGTGAGATATATCTGTATTCTCTTGAGTCATTCTCATACTCAGTATGTTCGTCTCCTCGTTACTGGTTTTATGAGAATTATCTGAGGATTTTTAGATAGCTAGAGAAGTTAGTTGCTTCACAACACAAGCGCTATTGAGCACATATTCTTTTATAAAAAAATATACTTCTTTGATTTTGATCTATGAGAAAAGGTTGAGAGTTTGGGGGGTGAAGTAACTAGGGTGGATGGGTTTTACTTATTTCTAGGTTGTTAAGTCCAGTTGAGTTATGTCCAGTAGAGCCAGAGCAGAAAGAAAAAAAACCAACTAATAAGAAAAAAAAGGCCCAAAAAGGAGAGTGGCTAAATGGCTCCCGAGCTCATCAACTCATGCGCATGAACGGTAAAATCAAAAGAAATACTAGAAAAAAATCAAAAAAAATCCGAATTTTGTTTGCATGGGAAATGTGTTTGTGCGTGAGGTTTGTGCCAAATTTCATCTCACTGGGACATCTGCTCTACTCTCAGGAAAAAACAAAATTGGGGTTTGAGAAAAAGTGTACTATCCATGCACTGTTCGGGACCGGGTTTTTTTCTTTTTTGCTCAGATGTCCAAATACGCAAAAATTTGGAGCAGACCTCACGCGCTAAAATATCTTCCATGCAGAAAAAATCAAAAAATTTTGAATTTGTTTACTATTTATTTTTATTTTACTATTCACCGGTATCAAATGAGCTCAGGAGCTGAAATGGATATTCGGCCAAAAACCAGGGTGTTAGAATGGAAAATTTACTTTTTTACCATGGCAAATTTACTTGACAACCATGTAAAATATACAACCATGTCACCATTACAATTGTATTGCCATGACAATTTTACCTTTTATTGCCATGGTGACATAGCTTTTGCCATGTCGCCATTACAACTTTTGACATGCCATAAGCACATTTTTTCGCCATGGCAAATTTGTTAAACTCTTTGCCATGGTAAATAATCCAAACATGTAGCCGTGCAAACCTACAAATTTTATTGTAAATTCATTTTTTCCATGATTTTTTTTCATGGTCACATGGCAAATTTATAACATTTTCTTGTTTCTAAAGATGGCAAATTTCGGTCTTTCAGAACACTTCCTTTCCAAAACATGGCAAAAAAAGTTAATGCTCTCATGGCAATATATGATTTGTGTGCCACACACATGGAAACTTTAAAAAAAATCCTTACGGTCAGTGGCGTAGCTAGGGGGTGGCCAGGGTGGTCCATGGACCACCCTGAAATTTCCCCATAACTTGTATATAGTGTAGTAAAAAAATATTTCTTTGAAAATAAATAAACATATGTAAATATTTTCATTAATGGACCACCCTGAAGTATTGGGCTGGCTACGCCACTGCTTACGGTCACATGTATATTCCAAAGCACTGTTCTACCAACACATTCAAATTTTAAGGCACTGTCCAACTCAGGTAAATTTTATGAACATGCAAAGTTTGTGTGAACAGAACAATTGTAAGTTCTTTTCCTGTGTTTTTTTTATCCTTTTGTTATTGATTTTTGCCTTTGGACATTTTTTAGTACAAATTCAAAAATAAATTTTCCATGTTGCCATTACCAAATTCAAAAATAAATTTACCATGTGTGTTTTAGAAAAAATCTTGTAAATTTGGTAACTAGCAATGCAGTGGTGATGCAACTGAGACGAGATGGGTCGATGAGGCCAAGGGATGCTCTGTTCTGGCACTACATATAAGGCACTGTACGTTCATTTAGACCGCATGGAAACAATCATACAAGGCGAGAAAGTGAACCACCACGGATTAAAAGCACCACGGATTAAAAGGCGAAATTATTATCCAACCACGTTAAATTCCAATCAATCAATGGATTAATCCATCTATACGTCCGTGCACTAGCAGTACACTCCTT